GTCCAGACCAGCCTCTTTGTCAGCCGGATGCAGCAGAGTCAGTAATCCCAGGTGATAGCACAGGGAGCATATGAACCCTGCCAAAATTACCCACAGAACTGTGAGACCGAACAAATCATTTTCAACCACTAAGTTTTGGGTTGATTTTTTTTCTGCAACAGTAGGTATTGGTAGACCTGCCAAACTGATTTTCAAGTATGGAGACAGCCATCCACAAAGAAGAATGCAGGGAAGATTGTTCCCATGAATCTTTCCTTGGGAATCTGATAGTGTACTTGAGAATGACTAGAGAAACACTAAAGACTGTTGATGAGCATTAGAGTTGAGATTAAGTGAAGGATATAAAGGGGAGTATCTCATGTAATGGCTGTATGTTTTGACAAAGCTCAACTGTAAAAAAAAATGTAGGGAGAGCATGTGCAAAACATGTTTTTATAAACTATCCTCAGCTGTCATATTTGTGTTTGTAGTGTGGGTTTTGTATTGAGTTAATGTTTTCTGTGTGTTGTGCAGCAAAGCAAATGCATAATTTTAAATTATTCTAATTCTGTTATTTCTCATGTCTCTGAGAGCCGGAAGTCTCTGTGGAAGAAATAATGTACAGATGTAAGTTAGAAGAATAAGTAAACACCCTGTGCTCCTGATTTTTAATTGGAAATATCAGTATGAACTCATGAGGTATTTTAATTTTATCTTGACATATACATCACATATGTATATTTTTGTACATATGTATATGTATAATATTAATCTGAAGATGTTTTATGTATATTATGGAATAAAGCAAATGAATATGTGAATTTTTTTTCTATTCTCTTAATTTATTTTATATGAAAGCGGCTTTTTTCACTTTCATTCTTGAAGATATGTTCATTGGATATAGAGTTCTAGGTTGACAGTTTTCTTTTAGCAACTTAAAGATGTGGTCCTTCTGTTTTTTGGTCCTTATAATTTTTTTTTTATGTAATTTGATTCTGACATTTCCTAGCTATGTCTGCTGAAAAGTCACAGAAATGAGCAAACCTAGTCCCAGAATGTGTTCTTGAAATGCTGCTGACTTCTAAAATAAACTGGGGCTTCTTTGATAAATCTTTGATTCCAGGGCATGAAATATATAAAATGATCCTGGAATATTTTTATACTATATATCAAGGAAGCTATCAGCCATTACTAACTAGAGTCAAGACAAAAGGATTGAGGAGCCAACTCAAAGAGCCTCTGGGATGACTAACAAGCTCAGTTTTAGCACTGGAAGTCCCGGGTCCCAGGAAACCTCTTTCTCAGGCATTTGGTACCATTGATCACCCTCAGAGGCTCCCACTGGCCACAAAGGGACAAGGTGAGCATCTGCAAGGGTAAGAGCTAAGTGGGTTGGCATCCTGTATTATGTCTAAATCTCTGAGTTCATACTGACAGCCCAAACAAAACCAAACCCACTAATTGTTCATCTTTAGTAGATATCAGGAAAACAGTCTTTAATTTTGAAATCTGATGAAGCAAGGGAAAGAATCAAGTATTTATTTTTACTTTTCTTTATGAACAGTACCACCAGGTAAACATATAGTAGGTGAGGTAAAGTTTCTTTTTATAGAAAATTTTATATGCTAGCAAGTAAAGACAAAATGATAGAATTGGAGTAATCTCTATATTTTAATGGGTTTTGACATTGAGTATCAGTGACTGCTAACAACACAAAGAGAAAATCACACATGTGCTGCACATGCACCACTACCTAAGGAAAATACCCAAAATTCTAAGCCTGAGTCTGACAAAGCTGCCTACATCCAACTGCGAATGTATGGGAAACACGCAAGACAGAGGAACATGTTCAGCTGCACAGTGGGACTGCATTCCGTGAAACCCAGCCTGTGGGAAATGTATAGGACAGATGGTCGAATATACTTAGCAGATTGTAAAGAAAAAGTAAGAGATGGTGAGGGAACCTATATGGATTAAAAAAAAGGGCGAGTTTAAACTATAGCAGTTAGGTATATACATTTCAGTAATAAAACCATAAATAAAAGTAAGGAAGTGATTACCACAAAAACCAGAGTAGTGGTGTTTCTTGATTGGGTTGGGAGAGTTAGAAGGGAATGGATGGAGGGTGTCATGACTGGGATAGGGTACATACATGGAGGGCTTCTGTAGTCGCTGACATGGTTCTGTCTTCTGATCTGCATGGTGGTTCCAAGTTCAGTTAGCTGTAATTTCTCTGTGTGGTTTTCTGTGTTTGTAATATCTATATCTATTTCAAAGACTATTTTAGAGCAGTTTTAGGTTCACAGCGAAAGTAAGAGGAAGATGGAGGTGTCTCCCATATCCCCTGTCCCCACACATGCATGGCCTCCCCCTTGATCACCATCTCCCCCCAAACTCCCAGAGTGGTACATGTGTTACAGTTGATGAACTTACATTGACACATCACCTCCCAAAGTCCATAGTTTACATCAGGGTTCACTCTTGGTGTACATTCAGTGGTTTGGGACAAATGTATGGTGACATATGTCAGTCATTATAGTGTTATACAAAGTATTTTTAGTGCCCTGAAAGTCCTCTATACTCTGCCTATTCATTCCTCCAAACTTTGGCAGCCACTGATCTTTTTCCTTTATAGTTTTGCCTTTTCCAGAGTGTTAGATAGTTGGAATCATACAATATACAGCCTTTCAGATTAACTTCTTTCACTTAGTAACATGAATTTAAGGCTCCTCTATGCCTTTTCCTGGCTTGATATCTCATTTCTTTTTAGTGCTGAATAATGTTTGTATTAAATTTGGTTATAAAAGTCCAAAATAAAAAATAAGGAAGGGAAATTGACCGGAGTGGAGGCCACTATATTAGGAAATAGTGGTAAGTGATGCCTTATATATTATCTAAGACTTCTTGACTGAGGATTTTATTAAATGCTATCATGAGAAGATTGAACATAATCTCTCAGTAGAGAGCCACTGAAGTTTATTAAAAAGAGGGGCTGGAGTGCTGAAAACTGTGTTTCTAAGAAGATAAACCTAGCAGGATGGATTTCAGGAAGAGATTGGAAAGCTAGTGGTACATCACATTGTGAAGGTGAAGGTGGTAAAGATTTGGATTATGTGATGCTTGTAGGAACAAAGATAATGTAACAGTTGTGATATGCAACAGAAGAATAGTAAGACTTGATGACGGATGAAGTATGGTTAAAAATAAAAGCATTAGAAATAAGCTCAAAGATTTCATTTTTGAGGGCATATCTTTTATTGGACAGGTACTGGGCAATTCTAGAAGGACAATTCTAGGTGATTAGACTAAAGTAAGATCTGGTGTTTCTCCTCATGATGTATTTAGAATCCCAGAGGAATGATCACTAGGGATTTAACATTTCAACTGGTTCATTTAAAAACACTATTCTGACAAGCAAGAAACTGATAACGGTGGTTTTTGATAAGTGCATATTTGTGACAGAGATATGAGGGTGACTTTTTTTTCTTTTGAATCTTGAATTATGTGCTTATATTACTTATTCAGAAAATAAAATTTAATTAAAAGATAAAGATGCCCAAATCTTCCAATTTTCAGGGACAGATTCTTAGTTGGCATTCTTTTATCATTGTAAGTGCTTTAGACTGTAGTTACTCAGAAAAGCATTCAGGTGGCGTGCGGTGCTTGGGTGGCTCAGTCCTTAAGCGTCTGCCTTCGGCTCAGGTCATTATCCCATAGTCCTGGGATCGGGCTCCCTGCTCAGCGGGAAGCCTGCTTCTCCCTCTCTCATTCCCCCTCCTTGTGTTCCCTCTCTCGCTGTGTCTCTGTCTGTCAAATAAATAAATAAAATCTTAAAAAAAAAAAAAAAGCATTGAGGTAAGCATATTTAGTAATTGGTCACCTTTGACTTACATATGTTTGTAAACATTGTATTTTTGAACAAATTTTATGTTTATGTGTCTCTGTATGTTGTGTGGGTGCACGTGTGGTTCTGGGTCTGGGTGTGTTTGTGTGTTTCATTCAGAAAAAAATGTTTATAGCTGGAGTCTCAACTCTTTTCCTAGTGCTTTTAATTCTTACTGCCTCCAGTTAATGATTTTCCTCCTTAGATGGGAGATGTTCTTCTCAACCAGTTTCAGGGCCATAAAGATGGTGGTAATGCAGCAGCACAGACTGTCTCTCTTCATTATCACTACTGATACTAAAGGTCACTACATATCTATTATTCCATCAGTCTCCCCTCTTCTGTCTCTCCCTCAGGCCATTGCTCTGGACCCAGCTTCTACAATAAAGTGTCCTGAAATACATGAGTCTTCATTTTGTGTCTTAGTCTTTTGGCTAGGTAAAGGTGAAATATTACATCTGGTGATGAAAAGAGAATAGGAGGTGACATGTATATATGATAGTTTTTTTTGTTTTAATAACTTTCCTAATTTGTTATTAGTGATAAAAGAACCATTAGACAAATTCAAGGAGGGGATACTTATTCCTTAAGGTCTAGTGAAATCAGAAGTTTTAAGTCTGCTCCCCTGTGGACCTAGAAAAGAGAAACCAGGATTGGAAACAGAGGCAGTAGCTAAGCAGCAGCAGCACAGTAGCTGTCAACCTTGGTTGCACACTGGCACCACTGAGGATATTAAAAAAAAATACTGATGCTTAGTTCCCACCTCTAGAGATCCTGATTTAATTGGTCAGGACTATGGTGTGGGCTTGGAACTTTTGGAACCTACACTTTTGAATTTAATATGAAGACTGTGAACCACTGGCCTAGAGAAGAAAACTGGTCTAGGACTGAGGAAAGGAGTTCCCAGGTTTCACAGCACTTTGATCCCCAAATCTCTTCTTTTGGGATAAACTAGAGTTTACTGTAAAATGATGCTTTCCAGGCTTTGTGATTTTTTAGGTTTCTGATGGGTAGAAAACACAAAAAAGACATGAATGAGTCGTTAGCATCTGGAAAGAATGGACAGATTCACAGCATAATAGTAATGAAACTTCATGGATTGATTACACTTATTTATTTTATTTTGATATTTACACAGGTTGCCTGTGATTTGCTTCGGAGAATAATTCGCATCTTATATCTCACTAAGAGACTCCAAGGACAACTGCAAGGGGGGAGTAGAGAGATAACAAAAGCTGCTCAGAGTCTTAATGAACTTGGTAAGTCCTCTTTTAATTAAAAAATTAGTAGAGTTTTACAGATTTTTCAGTCACTTGATTTGTTGGCTTTTGTTATCACCAGTAACAAATATTATTGAATAAGTGTATTTAATAATTGGCTGTATACAACATTCTCACACTTTTCAAAATGGGTGAATAAAATTAGTTGATTTCTTAGAAATGCTGTTTATTTTTAAAATTCTCATACGGTTGAATTGGCCGTTTTTTGGGTGTACACGCCTATGAATTTTAACACATGCGTAGATTACTCATGTAATCGCCAGCACAGTCATGATATAGAATAAGTTTCATCACCCCAAAAATTTCCTCCTGCTATCCCTTTACAGTCTCACCTCCTCCCCTAACTTCGTCAACCATTGATTGGTTCTCCATCAGTTTAGTTTTATATTTTGGGGAATGTCACATAAATGGGATTATAAAGTATGTAACCTTTTGAGGCTGATTTTTGTATTCAGCATAATACCTTTGAGATATATCCAAGTTTTTATTTATACCATTGTTTGTTACTTGGTGTTTGGTGGAATATCATTGTGTGGTTTTACCACAGTTTATTGATTCAAGGACTGAAGGAAGTTTATGTTGTTCCTAGTTTTTGGTGGTTATGAATAGAGCTACTGTAAACATTTGTGTACAGGTTTTCATGTGAACTTAATTTTCATTTCTGTAGGAGAAATTTTTTTTAGGTGACAAATCCTATGTTGACATTATGCCTAGAAGACTTATTGAATTCATTTCTTAATATGCTCATTCATCTTTCAAGTGTTTAAAACAGACTCTTGACATTCAAGGGTTTAACATTCATGGTTTTGACTATTAACAAGCTGCAAGGTCCATGATGATATAGTTCATATTTCAGGCAAAATTTTGAATAGCTACTGAGTGTACATAGAACTAACACCTGCATTTTAATGAGGCTTTGTGGTTTTCTTCTTTTCTTTGGGTACTCAGTAATTCTTCTGAAGTGGATGTGTTTAGTGATTTTGTACCTTTGTAGGTCCAGAGGTCTTTGATGATATCCAATTCAAGTATCAAGAGTCTACTTACTCTTCGTGGTATGCTTTGAAAATAATATCAGAAAGATATGCATTACATGTTATTTTTGAATTTTTCTATCTTTGATATTTCAATTATATAGTCAGGTTGTAATGCTTATTCCATATTTTTTACTAAAGCAGTATATAGCCTCCTTCATAAATGATACTTGAGTATCAATTTTTAATGCTCAAATACATTGCTTAGGCACATCATTGGGAATATATCTAACTTGTGATTTAGTATGCTTGGAATATATTATATAAAAAATATTTACTTAAATTAAAAAAATTTAAGTTTTTAAGCTCTAGTTAGTTAACAAAGTGTTATATTATTTTCAGGTGTATAATGTAGTGATTCAGTACTTCCGTACATCACTGGGTGCTCATCACAGCTAAACGCACTCCTTAATCCCCATCATCTATTTAACCCATTCCCCCCACCTCTCCTCTAGTAATCATCAGTTTGTTCTCTATAGTTAAAGTCTGTTAAAAAGTTAATTTTTAATCAGTGAGTAATGCTTGAGTGTTTTTTTTCACAATATGTGCTAAATGTAGGAGTGTAAAAATTCTAGTATAAGCTTTTATTTTTTGCTTTCACATTTAATTTCTTTGCTCCAAAAATAATCTGTAGGATAATAGAATCATTAAAAACAGGCACAAATTGTTCCAAGGTTTATTATGTATATTTGTCATCATTGACACTGTTCCATAATAAAAAATTGCTAGATTTTGATTATGACTGTCATTTTTTTCTAGAAAAAACAGATGCTGTAATGCAAATGGTGATGTCTTCTTTTTAAAAAAACAGACACAAGTATCAATCATAATGTTCTGAGTTGCTTCAGTGTAGAGTATAAACCCATTATCCTTCCAATGAGGCATTGGCTTTATCCAAAGTTTTTAAAATATTAAATGGTGAATAGTTGTTGAGAAAATATAGTTCATGGTGGAATTATCTCAAAATGGATTATATTAACTTAAATTTTTTAACCTTTGCAGATTATATACCATTCAAAATTTGCAAAGACACCATCTCTTCATCATTCACCACTGTGGGTCAGTCTTAGCCAACCCTGGCATTGATAATAAGGAGAAGCCAAGAGGAAGATAAAGTTTCTTCTTTTGGAATTAATATGTTAATAAAAGTAATAACTTGGGAATCAGTATTACAATTACACATATATACAAAATGATATTTTATGATTGGAACATCTCTGAAATTATCAGTGTCTATATCAGTATGGTTCTGATTCTCATTAGAAAGAATAAAATGATGAAGAGTAGTAGTGTTTACACAGGCCCTTGAAATTAACTTAAAATAATCTCTTAAACTTGAAAGGTCTTGATGGTTGGATTGCAGAGACCAGACGAAATACATTGTCATCTAGAAATTAAGTGTATTTTGAGGGACTGGAGGGAATGTAGAGTGACTGCTAAAGGCTACCAATTTCTCTTTGGGATGATGAAAATGTTCTGGAATTAAATAGTGGTGATTGTTGCACAGCCTCATCAATATATGGAAAAGCTGCTGAATTATGCACTTAAAACTGTTGAATTTTATGGTATTTGAATTATATACCAATATATAAACTATATTCTGGTACCTGGTGACAATTATTTTATATTGGTACCTTTTCTTAAATTGAGGTCTAAATGACATTCAATAAACTGCACATATTGAAAATGTATAGTTTGGTAAGTTTTGACACGAAACATCACCAGCATCAAGGTAATGAACATAACTATCACTCCCAAAAGTTTCCTCCTGCCACTTGGCAAGCCTTCCTCAGGCATTTGCTGATCTTCTTTCTGTCACTGTAGATTTAGTTGGCACTTTAGAAATCATACAGTTTGTATGTGTTTTTGTGGCTTCTTCCAGTCAGTTAATTTTGAGATTTATCCATGTTGTTGTGTGTATCAATAGCTCCTTCCTTTCTTTTTCTGAGTAGTATTCCATCTATTAGATATCCCACAGTTGGCTTATCCATTAGCCTGTTGATGGATATTTGGGTTGTTTCTAGTTTTTGGCTATAACAAATCAAGCTGCTATGAACATTCATGTACAAGTCTTTGTATGGACATATATGCTTTCATTTATCTTTGATCAATACATAGGAATGGAATGGCTAGATCATATGGTAGATGTATGTTTAACTTTTTAAGAAATTGCCAAGGTGTTTTTCAAAGTAGTTGTAAAATTTTACATTCCTATCAGTAGTATATGAAAATTGTACTTCTCCACATGCTAACACTTGTAATAGTCAGTCTTGTTAATTTTAGCCGTTCTAATAGATGTATAGTGGTACTCTGTTTTGAGTTTACAAAAAATTTGAACTAATAAAGAAGTTTAGCAAGATTTCAGGATACAAGATTAATATACAAAAATTAGTTTTATTTCCATGTACTGTTAACAAGCAATTGGAAATTGAAATTCAAAAATACCAATTATAATATGAAAAATATGAAATACTTAGGTTGAATTTGACAAAAGATTCGTAAGACATATAGACTGAGAACTAGAAAACATTGTGAATGGTGAAAGAAGACATAAATTAATAAATAAACCTTGTCTCCCTAAATTGATCTATATGAATTCAGTATGGTTATAATCTGAATCCCAACAGGTTTTTATTTAGAAATTAACAAACTGATTTGAAAATTCATATGGAAATGCAAAATATCTAGATAGACAAAGCTTTTAAAAGAGAACAAAGTTGGAAGATTAACCCTACCTGATTTGAAGACTTACTACAAAAACTTATAGTAAACAAGACAAAAAGATAGACAAACATACCAATGGAACAGAATAGTGAGTCTAGAAATAGACCTACACTTATATGAACAACTGATTTTTGACAAATTTAGCAGGGAGAAGGTAGTCTTTTCAGCAGATGGTACTGGCACAATTGGATAGCTATATGCGAAACAGTGAACTTGTAGTCATACCTCACTTCATATTAAAAAAATAAAATAAAACTAACTGAAAATGGATCATAGCCCTAAATGGAAAACCTACATTATAGAAAATCTAGAAGGAAATACAAGAGAACATTTCTGTGACTTTAAGATTTTATTTACTTATTTGACAGAGAGAGACACAGCGAGAGAGGGAACACAAGCAGGGGGAGAGGGAGAGGGAGAAGCAGGCTTCCCGCGGAGCAGGGAGTCTGATGCGGGGCTCGACCCCAGGACCCTGGGATCATGACCTGAGCCGAAGGCAGACGCTTAACAACTGAGCCACCCAGGCGCCCCTGTGACTTTGAATTAGAAAATGATTTCATAGATATATCATTCAAAGCACAATTCACACACAGAAAAACTGATAAATTAGATTTTATCAAAATTTAAAACTTCTGTTCTTTGAATGATACTATTAGAAGAATGAAAAGGGAAGCCATCAACAGGAAGAAAATACATGCAAAGTATGTATTTGCTAAAGGACTAGTGTCCAGAATATATAGAACACTCTACAATCTTGGTAAGAACACAAACAATGCAATTAAAAAATAGGCAAAAGATTTGTACAGACACTTCACCAAAGAAGATACATGGATGGTAGCTGTGCCTGTAAGGTGCTCAACATCATTAGGCATTAGGGAAATAAAAATTAAAATTGTACTAGTGTCTTACTGAGAGTAAGCAGGATTAGCGCAGGCATACTTGGAATTTTTCAGGCAGACTGTTCTGCAATGATTTTTTAAAACTACTTAGTGTAGGTTTTAGGATTAAATTGTATCATTGATTTAATGCTTTTCTTTAAGAAGAGTCCCAAGACTAGATGAAAATTTAGTTGGGCCTTACTACAAACTGACAACATTTTTTTGAGCATCGGCAAGATAATGTACTTAAAAATGTATTTTTAGTACCAACTACCCTTTAAAATTGTTGTTAGCCCATCAAATCAGGGTCTCTACATGATTCATAAGCTTGATATCTTTTCAGAAT